TTTAATATTGATGTTTAGATGAGTTAGCCTGAAAATGAAACTATTACTGTAAGCTTGACATAGTTAAAATAAAAGGTTTTGAAAAAATAATTTTGAAGAAAAAAAAGTAAAAGAAAACAAAATTTAATGATAAATTAGATGGAACTGGAAAGGAATGGTTGATGGGTTGGGACCGAACGATGAAAGGGGACCCACGCGGCTTTGGAGGTGACGGAGTTGAAGGCAGTTGACGTTAACGGTGTTTCATGTACAAGTGAAATTGAAGGGACCTTTTGACGTGATTAACTTAATTGATGTCTGTTTAACGTCAATGGTGGGGGAGATATACTAAATATTATGGAAGTACAAAAACGATTTAAACATAAATTTGTTTGTTTGAAAAAGCAAAAATGATTAACCTCATACGCCACCAAATTGTAAGTTAAATTTTAAAATAACCACTAATTTTTTTGAATATTTCAATTCAATTTTCAATTATATATATATATATATATATATTGGTATTTAGTACCAAAGCTTAAGATAAAAATACTAATTGAAATGATACATCAATTTGAGGATTCAATTGAAATGTTTTTATTAATATAAGTTGATTTTTTTTCTTTGAAAAGGGAGTTCTATATGTTATTAGATCAACAAAATATTATTTGATTTAGTTAGCTAAATATTCATTACAATCATTAAGGTTCAATTGCACCAATAATATTATTTTGGTGGATAATATGTAAATGATATATATATATATATATATAATTTAGTATAACTAACGATATCAAATTTATTAACCAAATAATTTTATTAAAATATTATAAAGATTCGTTACAGAGTAATATTTCTAATATAATTTGTTCCATTCGTATCGTCATGATTTTAACTTTTCACATTGTTTAATAAATCTTAAATCTCATCATATATACTAATTTTTTGTTAACTATAAATAACATTTTCGAGTAAGCACATTTAACTAATTAGCCAAGCTACTCAAACTTACTCTCTCATCTCCTTAGTTTATGAGTTCTAGACCTACTAAGAACACTTTCTTTCCTTACCCTATAGTCCTCATTCTCTTTCCATTAGGACTAGGATTATATTTAGAATTTAAAAATTAATTTATGGTTTAATTGCAATTAATCTAAAATAAAAGGAAATTTTTAAAAAATAAGATTTTTTTGGTATAATGTTAAAATCAACCCCACTATTTATATTAATAATCATTTTAGTACATATTTTATGAAATATTTTTAATTTTCAATGTCTCAATTTTTGGTCGAAATAGTCCATGTTTGACTGAAATTATTATTTAACTAAAGCTCAATGCATGATATAACATTTCCATAAATGTTTAATCGATGATGTGTCACATGCCATGTCATCATTTGGATGCATGACATGTGACACATCATCACTTTGGTTGACGTGGCATGTGACACACCAACAATTAAGCACATATGAAAATGTTACATTAATAACATGAGTTAAAAAAATGGTTGTCCCTTGTTTCCATATATAATGGGGTAAGGGGGAGGTAAGATAGTAGGCTGCCCCCAACACCAGGTTGAGAGCAGCTTCCGAAGACCTCCGAATTATGAAATGCCCTCAGTGGGACTCGATCCCACGACTTCAAGGTTAAAACTTGTGCTCTACCAACTGAGCTGATAGTCATCTCTAAATAACATGAGTTAAGCATCTGTCAATTAACATTTTTCATCCAACATGAGTCATTTTAGCCGAAAATTAAAACGTTGGAGGTTATAATGTTAAGAAATAATAAAGATTAAAGTTCATTTAAGAAAATATTAGGAGCTAATTTTGACATTATGCATGTTTTATTAGTTTAACGACGCTAACTGTGACTTTTATGACAGAATATAACCCTAAACGACCGTTAAGTTTAGCGTGAAAAGGGTCCGATTATTTATGTTTAAAATCCATGCACCGGCGCACATGGCCACTATCTCTGTCGTCCCTATCTGTTCCATTTTAAATTAAAAAATAAATAGATTCCATTTTTATTGGCTCTAACTCTACCAGATTTTTTATTCATTGATAAAAAGATTATTTGTCAATTTCAAATTATTCTTTTTTGCAAGTTTTCTAGGACTTTTAAGCTGAACCATCTATTTAATTGAAAACTATTCTTTGAAACCAAATATTACTTTTTTAACATAAAAAATGCATTTCACAGGAAAAAAAGTTCGGACTTTTTTTAGGCCGTGGTTAGGTTATTGGGGTCATGTGAAAATTCTTATAAGAGCCCCTAGTTTTAAATATATTTGATTTCGTGGCTCTTATTTTTATGTTTTTTAATGACAACAATTGATATATATACTCGATTTTGAGGCCTCTATTTTTATGCTTTTAATGGCAACAACTGATAGATATACTCGATTTCAAACCTATTTTTATGCTTATTAATAACAACAACTAATAGATATATTCGATTTTAAAACCTCTATTTTTTGAGAACCCTGTGCCGTCGCCCACCCTGCTCACCTAAGCACGCCATGACTTTGTCATGAGTCAGATACATTGCTTTTCCATAACGAATTTTCCTTATTTTTCAAATGACAATTATTCATATTTTGACAAATTTTCAAATCAAGATTCTTATGGATAGAACATAAAATATTTAGTAGATTTGAAATAATCCGTATATTATGTAATTTAAATTATAATAAATATAGACTGAAAATTTACTTATCATATTTTTGCATGAAAAAACTTGAACCTGGGCACTCAAGGTACCAGAACAATAACCTTAAATATTTCATTCTTTTAGTAAAGCTTTTAGTTGAAAATTTTGATTATATATATATATATATATGATTACAAATAATATCTATTCTAAAGATTCTCAAATATTTTACAATAAAAGTTAAAACACCTTTGTAATATCTAATGTTTGTACCTGAGACATTTAAAAATAACAACGATCCTTTTAATTATTGTGATAACTTGATTCGTGCGAAAATGACCATATAGCAAATGCATTGAATAAGAAGAAAATAGAAGGTATGGCTTTGATAGTTTGAACTCTAAGACAAGAATTGTAAAAGATTTTGCAACCTGCCCCTATTTTTGACTTATATCCTCCATGAAATCTGCTAACAATTATAGCTAATCAAGTTGTCATAAAATATATACTATTATTACTCACAAAATGTCTTGATTAAAAAAAGTTAAGCTCAAGCATTAAAATTTTAAAATTAATTATTAAAAATTGTCATTTTTATTTTATTAAGTACCTAAATAGAGTAAAAAAACAAAATTCATTTGACATATATAGTATGAGAAAAATATTTAATATAATATGTGTTTAATATCCAAGTGGGATAATAAGATAAGGCAATTAAGGGTATGGATATAATAAAATAATAAGGGGTTGAGAAGAGGAACACCATCAATCACGTTGAGACCGCGAAACAAGGCGAGCGTTGTGTGGACTGAAAGATTTTGTTTCAGGCAATGATCATCATGTTTAAGTTTCTTTTTCAAGTCAAACCACCAATAAAGTATTAGTATTTGATACCTGCTTAATTGTCAACAATCTTCATTAGTACTAATATACATTATATCATCAATTCATACTGTTTGTAATCTGTAATTTTTTTCATCAAATTATATCTCGATCATTTCATTTATTTTCCCCCTCTAATACTGATATTTTATAGGCTCGGTTGTGGCCTTTCTGGATAGAAATTTGGTGGCTGCGGTTTGGACCGTCGGAGCGTAGAACTAGAGTTTACTTTTGAGCTCTTTGGTTTGAAATTAACGGCCTCCGGAGCCATATAGACCCAACTGATTCTATATGTCCATTTCGCTTATGGGCTTAGGGTTTTGGTACTAAGTCATGATTTTTTTAACAGTTTAAGGTCACTATAATGTGATATATATTAAAAAAAAACTAACCGTTAACAATGTACACACAAGTTACAAACACAACTATTTAAATTCAAAATATTTAGAAAGAACAACACTCTCTTTCATTTATGTCGCTCAGTGAGTTCATGAGTCATGAGTTTTTCTTTTATAGATTTAGGATGAAAACAAGGTAATACATGTTAAAAAATCTCTCAAATCTTTGATTATGAAGGCTCGTACTCCTATATACTAATATTTAAACTCAAGATTTTAAAGGATAACAAAGATTTTTTCAATTATTAAGTTAACTTTATACGTACAAAATTATAGTAATACAAAAAAATTTAAATAAATAGTACCTTATAATCATTTCTTTTAAATCATTTTCAATCATTCTGACCAACCACCATTGTCTCCCCGTTGTGAATACAACCTATGAAGTGCTAATTACAGGAAGTTTTACCGTGCGACACCCTTAATATAAGGCTAAGGAAAGACATTATTGGTTTTGTTATTATTTTTTTCTAACAAAACCGGCAAAAAATTACTTAAAAACATTATTATTCATACCTAAAACATTTATGTTTTTTAACATTTCCAGTAAAGTGTTAAATAATAACAAAATCGGTAGAAAAAAAATAATGTTTTAAGCAGTGTTTTACCGGATATGTTAACAAAACCGATAAAGCGTCCAATAATAACAAAACCGATAGAAATAATAATGTTTCCAAAATCACTCAAATGTGCAAACGTATCTACGTCTAGTAGCACATTGCTGGGCTTTAGGTCGCAATGAACCACTGGTGTTGTATGATGATGATGGAGATATTCCAAAGCAGATGCAACATCTATCAGCATGTTCAACCTTTGTAGGATATCCAGAAAACGGTTGTTGGAATACAGCCATTTGTCAAGACTTCCCTTAGGCATAAACTCAAGTACCAAGGCTTTGAAATCAAGATTATTCGAGCACCTACTGACGATTTTGATTAAATTCCGGTGATGGATGTTGCGAAGAACTTCACATTCAACGTCAAAGCCATTAAAGGCTTCTTTTAACTCTTACTTGAAAATCTTTACAGCAAATGTCATTCCATCGAAAAGAGTGCCTTGATATACTGAGCCATAACTCCCAGAACCTAGCAATTTGCGACCTCAACTGGTAGTGCTACATGCATTATGAGCTTAGTTCTTGACTTGGAATTTCTAAGAGGTTTAGTTTTGCAGCTTGGAACATGAAGTTGAGGTGCTCCACACAATGCTTCATTCCCCTTAAATGATTCGATCGAGTAGCTTTCCAATGATCCTCCATCTGGAATTTCTCCTTGCAGTCTATTAAAAGAGACATTGAAATATTTGAGATAACAAAGTTTCTCCAAGGACAAGGGAATCTCTCCGGATAGATTATTTCTTGACAAATCCAGGGATTCCAAGCTCAACAAGTCACCAAATGACTCGGGAATGGAATCTGTGATTCTATTATTGGATAAGGAAAAATAAATGCGGTCTTTGAGATATGCTATTCTAATCGGGATATCGCCCAAGAGCTGGTTGTTCGACAAATCCATACTATTCACAACTTTCCACTTTCCAATATCAATTGGAAGAGGACCAGAGAGAGAATTCGAAGACAAGTTCAGGATCAGCAAGTCGTTAAGCCCTGTCAAGTTTGAAGGTATTGAGCCAGAAAACATATTGGATCCAAGGAGCAGCTGCCTTAAAGAAACAAGATTACCCAAGCAAGTCGGTATCGGTCCGGACAATTTGTTGTTCGTCAAGAACAAGAAAGCCAACTTGTTTAGCTGACATAACTCGGACTGGATTGATCCTTCCTACTTATTGCCTGAAAGAGAAAGCCTCTGCAACTCTTTTAATCCCCCAATTGTAGTAGTAACCATTCCTGTCAATTTATTGTCATCAAGCTTTATGGCTATCAATCGACTTAAGTTAGCAAAATCACTCGGTATGCTACCACTGATGTTGCACCTACCAGCGAAGAATCTCTGAAGAGTGTTTGCAAGATTCCCTACCAAACCTGGAAGTTTACCACTGATCAATCGGTTGTTTCCGATATCCACGACTTCTAAGCCTCTAGAGTTTGTCAAAGAAGAGAGAAAGCTTATCCCAGAGGAAGTTAGATTATTAACTTCCAGGTTGAGTTTTTTCAAATTTCATAGATTGCCAAGAGTTTCAGGAATGGAGTCTGAAAAGTAATAATGTGGCATGTCAAGAAGAATAAGAATAAGCTGAGAGGCATTGGAAATAAAAGAACCACTGAGTTGATTACTCCCAAGATATAAATATTTCAGGTTTGGAAGCCAAAGCCCCATGTTTGATGGAAGACGACCAGAGAGCTGATTTAAAATAGCAAAGAAATGACTTGCAGAGATGATGTATTGAATATCTTAGGAGGAATGGGACCAACAAGATTGTTAACTCCCAAACTCAACAATTTTAGATTCTTTAGGTTGCCAATCAGTTGTGGTATTGTACCTGCAACAAAAATTTTCAAACAAATACATTAGTCCAATATACGAGAAAGTGAAAAAAACACAACAATTAAAATTTAGCATAAGAAAGTTAGAAATTAAGAAAAATAATTTAAAAGCAGATTAGTTCTAATTTATTCATTCACCTGTGAAGTTGTTATGGGAACCATCAAACTCCCTAAGACGAGTTAAATTTGTAATTTGTTCTGGAATTTGACCTGCGATAATAAAATTCCCAAATCAATTTCAAAATTCTTTTACATTTTTTACAATTAACTTCACATTGCACTTGTTTATTATTATTCATTAACTTGAGTTTTTCTGAAAGCAGCTCTTCGTTTTACATCTCGAAGTACCTTGTGGGGGGGGGGGGGAAGTAGACACTAGAAAAGCTTAAAGAAAGGTTAGTGTAAGTTACCTTCAAAGTGATTCCGACTAATATCGAAGAATTGAAGCATACTTAAATTCTCAATTTCTGCCGGTAGACTCCCCTCCAATTGGTTAACCGACAGGAATAACGTTTGTAACTTTTCGCAGTTGAATAAACTGCTTGGAATTATACCAAAAAGCATGTTTCCACTCAAGTAGAGAGTTTTCAGATTAGGAAGATGATCAAACATATCCTTTGGAAACAGGTCAGTGAGATTATTGTAGTTGAAACCAAATCGAGTTTAAAAAAAGGTATGGAACCGGAGAGCATATTATTGCTTAGATCAATACCTTGCAACGAAGATATATTGAAGATGGAGGGATGGTATTGAACCTGAAATCTGGTTTTCATACAAGCTCAACTTCTCTAGCTTTGGCAAGTAGCCTAACGAAGATGGAATGATACCACTGAAGTTGTTAACGTGCAGATACAGCTCTCGGAGTTCAGTCAATGATCCAAACCACGACGGGATTTCTCCGATGAAGCTGTTGTTATCAAAGTCTATATGTTTCAGCCGGCGCAAATTCGATAATCGGACCGGTAAACTGCCATGAATATTATTATCTTTGATGGAAAGGAAAGGAATGATCGATTTCCCAAGTGGGGTGGAAGGGTGCCTATGAGTTCTAACCCGGAAAGGTTTAGAGTTGTGACTCTATTGTGCCTGGATCCACATCTGACACCAAACCAATTGCAAACGGCAGTGGAGGCAGGCCAATTAGTTGCCAATATATTTTTAGAATCGTGGGTAACAAGGTCTTTCAGTGCAAGAAGAGCCGATTGGTCTGTGAGTATGGAGGTTAAATTCATGGAGAAAGTAGCCACGGAAAAATGAAAGATGATGAGAAGAACCGAGTTGAGGAAAGTGTTCCCCATTTGAGTTTGCATGTCGAGTCGATGGAAATGGTGCCAAGAAGGGCTCAACTGAAATAGCCCGACCATCCATTCCTTATATACAGTAGTGAGTAGACCATAAAATTTCATGGAACATGCAATGAGGTTGAAGATTCCCCCCCCCCCCAACCAAAAGGTCCTATCAGTACCTCTCAACAACACACCACCTTTAATGCTGCGTAAAAAATGGTTTATTTAATTTAGATATCTTACAAAGAAAAATTTAGACTTTTTATCCTGGGAAAGTATCATTGATTAATAGAATTAACAGAAAAATGGTTCATTTCGTTTTTTCCTCGTCTTTTTTGCAGAAAAATTGGTCCTGCATTCATTGCAAGACAATTGCCATGGAAATTTCTTCAGTCCGTGCTTTGTCAATTTTGATGGTTTCGTATCAATTATCTTTGAAAAGTAGTATGATTTGCATTCAATATTGGTTTAAACTTTAGCTTACTTTCCCATTAATTTTTAGATTAGAGTAAATTATAAATTTAATCACTTAATTTTCTTCTCACTCTTTTTTTAGTCACTAAAATTCTAAAAAATTTAATTTACTCATTATTCTTTCGATCCCCCTGTTTTGATCAATCATGTGTTAAATCATAAATGGAAGAGTGACATGACAATCACATGTGATGATGTAAACTACTTTTTGTTGACATAAAATCAACATGTCATCCACGTTATCTCCTTTCTTTTATTTTATCTTCTTCTTTTAAAGAAGAAAGTTTTTCAATTTCATTCATATATCATGTCAACAATGCAATTATCACTCTTCAGCATCTTCTTCAACCACTCTAGATATCAATGAATTTGTCTCATTGTCTCCTACCATTTTATCAATTTATATTTTACTTAAATCACTTTAAAACTCAACCTTAAACCCCAAAACTCATGAAATCTTAAACCAATTTGATCTATAATCAATATGAAATTAAGATATACGATTCGATTCCTCCACCTCCCCACCACTGAGATTTAGTTGAGAAATCAAAGGGAATTCAAAACTATGATTTTTTCACCCAAAAAAAACTTTAATGCCATTCCATAATTTTTAAACGAAAAATATTTAGTCATAACATTGTTAAGTATTTAACAGTGGGACGACCAAAATAGGATCAAATCAAAAGTTCAATGAATAAATTAAAAAAATTAAACTTTAGCTACTAGAATAGGAACGAGAAGAAATTTAAGTGATGAATTTTATAATTTACCTTTTAAATCATGAGCAATATATACACATTACACAACCATAGTCCAATTACAATAAAATGGAAATGAGCTCGGGTGTTTTGTGTTCATTACCCAATTACTTTGATATATATATGTATGACATGGGAATTATATGGCTTTTAATTTTGCAAGAGATCCTCGTAGTGAACCTCCTAATATTGGCTGTCCAGGTCCTAATGGGTGTCATCTTCCATCTTGACCTTCATTGTGGTGAGAAAGCAAAGTTAAAATGAATAATAATACGGCCTTGTGAGTGCAAGTCTTCAATTGTAATTTGCTTGCAATAAATAACATAATCATGGCTTCTTAAGAGTTTTGATTACTATCCGATATTGTATCTAAAACGAAGGCTTCCTCTAGAAAAAGTTCAGTTCTTGTTTAGTGATTCAAGCCAAGGTTTAAATACTTTACGTTTATTTAATTACAATTGATGATAAATTCATCTTACAGTCTTCAATCACTTTTCGTAGCATTTCTTATGAAAAATGCGTAACAACAAGCAATGAAAATAACTCAACACCAACCTAGAATTTATTCGGAAATTTTGAATCGCAAAATAATTTCATATTCAGTTTATTGAATTACAAGCACTATTGTTAACGTATCAAATAAGGTACATAATCCAAAAAAAAAAAAAGGAGAGAAGAGAAGAGAAAAGCTTTGAACTTCATCTGTAAGATTTAAGAACAGCTCCACAAAATGTGCAGATTATAGCTTTCCAAGACCTCCAATAAAACGGAACATAACAAAACCGGGTGACCGTTTTCATGTCCCCGATGCTCGCTCCTCGGCCGCATCGAGAGCACATCCCGGCTACCGGCTTGCTGCTCGTCAGCTTCCGCCTTTGGTCCACCAGGAAACAAAAGCACACCATTTTCAAGCCACGCAGAGAAAAAGAAGAAGAAAGAAACTTATATATACCATCCTTTAAATTCAAACTTTAGAGAGAATATATGGTATTTGTATAGACCAAATGTCACGTTAAATGTCAACAATATGTAGCTGCAACAACCGTTAGTACAAGACACGTACGTTGACGAATGAAATTGTTGGACGTGTGTGTTGGTGTTGAATTTTGGGCATTGATGGACTGCTGGTTGATGATTTGCTTGGAGGAAACAGTTGGGAGGCTTGAAATTAGGTTGCAGGCACGACGTTGATGTCTGGGATAGTTCGAAACCTTGAAAATCCTCCACGTTTTAATGACTTAGTACCAATAAATAATTAATTTTAGATTCCAATTTCCTATATTTTACTTTCATATCACTACCAAACTGTTGTATTAATTAATCAAATTTAAAGGTATTGTACGTTCGAAAATATGAGTGTAGATCAATGATCATATATGAAGACTAAAATATACTTATTCCCAAGAGGTTTATGGTTAAAAAAACATTTCTCCTGATAGTTAAAAAAAATCTCATTTTGTAGTCTAAATTAATATTTAAACTAAGTGAAAAAGATAAACGCTTTGCAGCAGTTACAAAATCTCCTCATTCTCTACGGCAGTTTAGGAGTTACAAGCAATCGACGGGATCTTTGGGACAGTGGCGGTGTCGTTTACGGCCATCTTCCTGTCCTTTTGTTTCCAATTTTTTGTTATTTCCTTTTACTTTTACTAGTTTTCACTTTTAGTTTTATCATAGTTTAATATTAATATTTTCTCTTAGTCTTTTTTCTAGTAAAATGTATCATGGCTACCGATGTTAGCGGACCTCGAGTGTAAGTATATTTATTGGTTTTTCTTCTTGGTCTGCATTTCAACATGCTTCCATGGATGGATTGTCTTCAAGGAGAGATCACCTTCTACGTTTGTTGTTTTGGATCTTCTTCAAGTTTTTCTCCTCCATAGTTGGTGCTCGAAGTCATTGGTGCAATCAGTTTATATATATCGTTGCTTCATTTGTTTATATTTTTGCTTATCAAACTATCACTAGGCGATCATTGTAAGATTTTAAGATAGTCTCGACTGTGTTTGTTCAGTCTGTAATTAGCAAGACGTTGTTGATACAGTTTTCGATAAATAAATATTTTTCCGTATTACTTTAAAAAAAATTATAACTTCTATTTTAAATTGATTCCTAATTTTTAATGTTTTGGTTTCACCTTTAAATTATAACTCTCATTTTGAATTAGTCATTAAACTTTTAAATATTTCAATTTTATCTCAAAATATAGGTATATGTTATTCACATGCGCTGTTAATAAACTCGTTAGACCATGCTATATTATTATATATTTGGAGAAAAAATTAGGTTAAACTATAGTTGAAACTAATTACGTATATGGATGGATTTGGTGATAAAATTGAAAGATTCAAAAGTTTGGATACTAATTTAGAATGAATGTCATATAATTTATGGAAGAAATTTTAAAAAAAATTAAAAGTTTGAGTACTAATTTAAAATAAGGGTCATAATTGAAAATTTTTATTCCTATAATAATCAAATACCAATAATTAAAAATAATTGGAATTAAATGTTAATATATTTATGAATCTCTTAAGTGACGATCTTAAAAGATATCATTATTTTTAATAAAACTTTAATAATAACATAATTTTTAATCTTTTAAGTTTAATAATTTTTAACTTAATCTCTAATTTTTTTACATTAATATCTTAATTTGATGTTTTTTTTTTACTTTTACTCATTTTAGTGATGTGGCACTTTGTGTGTTGTGGCACTTTGAGTGTACCCGTACCACATCATCAGAAACACCAATTTTTGGGACCAAAAGTTATTTTATACCAAAAACTTTAGGCCTACTATCATTTCCCATGACATCGACGGCCCTTATTCCTTCACATTCTGACGTGGCACGTCAAGGTTGCTTAAAAGGATTTTTTTCACCGAATGAAATAATGCTGGTTCACTGCTTTAATTTAATTAAAAAAAAACTAAAAAGGAAATAGAATCATTTCTCTCTCTCTCTTACGAATGTGGTTTACTGTTTTAATTTAAAGTTGTATACTTTAAAGCAAAAACTGCGGGAGCCAAAGCCATTGACGCCTTTGCATTGAAACACACGTCAAAATCCGACAAGTACGATATACCCTCAAGATCTCTGCAGAAAACTCGACGCTTTTCTTGTTCATCTGTTCACTTTGGAAGGTTCTTTTCGGTTTTGCTGTGGAGGAAGATTGTTTCCGATATGACGGAGGAGAATGACAAGTACGATAAAGAGTTGGATTTGGCTGTTAGAATTGTGCATTTGGCTTGTTCTTTATGTCAAAAGGTGCAACAAAGCTTGGTTTCTGCTGCTTCTCGACAGGTTTTGGCTAAAGATGATGATTCTCCTGTTACTGTTGCAGGTACTTTCTATTCATCGCATCAAATTATATTATTTTTGGGAATTTGGTTTCTTCAATTGGGTGTTGTTTATTTTACTTTTTTTCTTTGGTGGGTTTGATTTGAATGAGGCTCTTGACAATGGGTTGGTTTTGTTTTTTTTTTTTTTAAATTGGGGATAGTTGGAGTATGAATTTGTAATGTGGTATTTGATTGGTGTATATTTAGGCCATTGGTTGCTTGTTAGTTAGTATAAGAAGGAAAAATTAAGAGAAATTTTGGAATTTTATTATAGTTTGCATGATTGTAGATTTTCATTAGGTTGTTTGGTGTATTGCCATTTTGGTGTTTCCTTTCTGAAATTTTTGTCTAAAGGAAATACATTGTGGAAAAGGAAAATGTTGAGAACTTTGTTGCTTACTGCTGAATGGATTTCAAAGTGCTAACTTCGGAAATGAGGTAAAGTTTGTAATTGGTTGTTCAGTTTTATTTTCTGAACTGATCAGTTTGGTCAGTAAACCAGGGCCTTTGGTTATATTTAGATTTCAGTTTGTCCCGATTCACCGACATTAGTAAATGATGGAAAGAAACTCCATAAACCTCTTTGTTAATTGTGAAGTACATAGGTAGTAGACAGAAATGCAGGTGTCAGTGCTTGCATATGATTGTAATTGATTGCCTAGACATTCTCTAGTACCATTTGAGGTTTGATTCACTGACTCGTTAAAGATAATAGAAAGGAGGTTCTTAACAAATTATTTGGCTTTCCACCTCATCTTTCCATTTCCCTTCTTCTTTCATGAATCAAGCTTTCTCCCTCTACTTGTGGGGAGGCAAAAGTTTTGTATAGAGAGGGTCTTGTATACTTGCTTTTTAACCGTAAAAATATGCAGTGTGGTTTGCAGGAAATGGCTATCATCATTGTTCGTACTTTCTTAGCTGGCCATTGTATTTATGGAATATATACTTGTTTTTTAGTCGATCATTCAAATAGCGGAGCATTCATACTATGAGATGATGCGGCAAGCTTTAATATGGTCTGAAAGCACTTTTTTTTAACTCAATGACTGCTGTTTATCTACTTGTGTTAATTATTTGCAAGGTGTTTATGCAAGTTTGATCTATTTCTGATTCTTCTGATCATCTTAACAGACTGGAGTGTCCAAGCAACTGTTAGTTGGCTGCTTTCCGAATTCTTGGAAGGTCAGTGTGTGTCCATTGTTGCTGAAGAAGATGTCCAAACACTCTCCAAGACGGATGCAGCAAGTTTACTTGCAGCTGTTGTGAACACTGTGAATGAATGCTTAACTGAAGCACCAAAGTATGGTCTTCAGTGTCCAAAGAAAGGTCTCGAGACTTCACAAATTCTTGAGGCTATAAGTCGATGCAACTCAACTGGGGGCCCAACTGGGAGACATTGGGTGCTGGACCCTGTTGACGGGACATTGGGATTTATACGTGGTGACCAATATGCTGTAGCTCTAGCCTTGATCGAGGATGGGAAGCTAGTTCTCGGAGTTCTTGGGTGTCCTAATTACCCTATGAAAAAGGAATTGTTGAATTATAATCATCAGCATGGCCAAACTATGCCGAAGACTCCACCATCTTCTGATATTTGGCAAAAAGGATGTGTGATGTATGCAAAGAGAGGAAGTGGTCAGGCATGGATGCAACCATTGATCCAAGGGGATAGAAAATTTGAATGGCCAAATTCTGCTACGTTGGTACATGCTTCTCCTGTTGATGACCCATCTCTGGCGACTTTTTGTGAACCCGTGGAAAAGGCAAATTCAAACCACTTGTTTACAGCGGGACTTGCTAACAGCATAGGTCTCAAGTGAGTTACTTTTATTTTCTCTTCTACTTCATTTATAAACTCCATTCATGTCATTACATTAATGAAACTGAGTTCCTTCGTCATTCTGTTTCTGAAGTTCAGAAAATGTTAATATTTGGGAGGACTAAACTAGAATGTGGTTAGAAATTATATAGTTTCTACGAGGTCACCTTCTTATTTGATCCTAATATATCTTTTCATACATTCTAATGCCAGAAACCAACCTATGCGAGTCCATAGCATGGTAAAATATGCAGCAATAGCCCGGGGCGATGCTGAGGTTTTTATAAAGTTTGCAAGATCTGGGTACAAAGAGAAGATATGGGACCACGCTGCTGGTGTTGTCATCGTAGAAGAGGCTGGTGGGGTTGCAACGGATGCAGGAGGTCGCCCCTTGGACTTCAGTGGGGGATTGTACTTAGAAGGTCTTGACCGGGGGATTATTGCTTGCTCTGGGCCGATACTGCATGATAAAATCATTGGGGCTGTATATGCGAGCTGGGATTCTTCTAATCTATGAGACTTCCTATATCTTGCCAATGCAGTAATACTGGAGTATTATATGTTGATTTTATGATGGTAAGCTCATCACTGAAAATTCAAATTTTAAGTCATTCTGCATCTTTTCTACATATCATCTGATTTGAACATTTTGCACCACCTTTCCAAGATTACTGAAAAATTTGTACTTGAGAAATGAAATCGTCCCCGACACCATTCTTTCTGAAGCCAAATGAAGTGTAATGTCACTTGTGTATTCTATGTCCATGAAGTTTTGGTTTTAGTGGACTTGTCGAAGATTTGGAATGAAGCACCCTTCTTTCTAGTCTAATAGGAAACAGTTTTCCCCAAAAATAAAGTTTATTTGAATGCTTTTCATTTTAATTTTCATTCTCACAGGGCATGGCTCGACTCTAGTGACTTGTAATAAGCAGTTTCCTAATGTTTTCATCTCATTTCTTTGTAGTGTCTTCATCAAACTATTTCAGGGCAAGCATATTCCGAGAAGGATGTTGATGATGCTGCCAATACCACTTACAAATGACTTAGTGTCTGCTGAAATATATTCTCGAAAATTCCCAAGGTCTGATCATCAATTTCACCTTCTTCCTGATGTTACTGTATCGGATTGCTCGATTTTTATTAGCAATAGCGCCCTTACTATAGCTTTTCTAATGGAAGTTTTGATGTCTTTAATAGGAGAAAGCTTTACTGGTGCTTCTATCCTATGCTAAGCTTAGGGAACTGAACTGATACATAAGTTTTGGATGCATAATCCTATATGATTTTCGATTCCAAGAAATACATATTTTCTTTCTACGTTTCACAAGTAATTCGGAACGGATATATTCTGCATTTTCTTCTTTGATCAGTATCTGTTTGTTTTACTGAATTTTCCAGGAGGCCGGAGAACATATGGATGCTGCCTCATCTTTTGATTACATTTTCCCCGGTGAGAGCTAAAGTCATGAACTATTCCAACTACAATCGGAAGCATCATCGTTAGCTATTTTCGAGCTCTAAATTTCTTTGACAAATGAAATTGAACTAAATCCGAATTCGAATTTTACCAACTTTTTCTTGACAAATTAGTGTGCTAAAATCCATGTTTAGATTTTGAAAAACGAAGGTTAAAGTTTCACATTATTATAAACACAAGTCAATGTTAGGTCTGATTTTTGAAATTGATTGTGCATGAGTTAGGTACGTCGGTCTACAGTCTTTGGGACCACAACGCATATCTTTCCGAAATTTATTTAAGGATTTTTTTTACATTTTATCCATCTTATCTGCTTAAGGAAAAATATTTTTAAAATTTCAAACAGTTTAAGTTTAATGATAACGAAGAATTGAGATTTGAATATTTTATTTCCAAATTCAACATGTGTAGGTTTAATTAACCATTATTGTATTGAACTAATAATTTAATAAGTGTTTATAAAAATGAGTCGATTATGTTTTAGTTCGATTGATATTATTATTATAAAATATAGGATAATGTTTAAAGCTCGAATCTCAATATCATGAATGAAGTAAATTGAGTTGAAAATATATTTTTATAATGAATCTTCATAATACTTGATTCGGATTGATTGGTCGGTAAAATAAACATAAACAATTATAAAAATAATATGATGAAGAAAATGGAAGTGAGTATAAGGAGTGGTAGACATTTTGTTAGGTGTGAAATAGGACCACTTGAAGAATGCCAATGGGCAATGGATGGAATTTAGAGTTAGGAAGTAGATGAAGCCTATTTTGTACTTTAGGGTTTTGAAGTAAAATTTTAAGGTTTTTTTTAAAAGTGAAAGTCGGTGCTGCTTTGCTTGTTTCACGTACGTATTGGCAAATTAGTCAAATTATAAAACCAAACTGGGTGGGTGCTACCTACATCAAGTCAACATAAGTCTTAAATAAAAGTATACTATTTTCTATTTATGTTTTTGAAGTATTTTTATTAAAGTAACTATATTATGTAATTAACCTTATCATCTACCAATAAAGGAGATCAGAATATTAAATGTTGAATTTCTAACTATTTTTAAATTAATTTTAAATATATTTTGTGAAATTTAATTTTTAAAAAAGGAAACAAAATAGTGTGACAACATGGTTTTAAACAATTACTATGCAGACTGATAGTTGTGAAGCTCTTCAACTATTCTCTCCTCCATTCATGAACAATCCTTTGCATTGGCAAGGTCCATTACGAGTCTCTATAACAAAGTATGCTTTTTGATTTTTAAAAATCTATCCTGAAGCAAATATAATGATGAATTTCGTTGTAAAGATGGATATCTTACAGATGATTTTTTAGTTATTTTTGACTCATTACCGTCATAATTTTTGAATATTCTTTATACAGATACTATGACATCATGTAAGGATTAGATGCATTAACTTTTATTTTTTTATTTAAAAAAATAAAAAAATAAAAATTTTAAATCAATCAATAATGATTGATGATAGTTAAAGGAATTCATTTTTTTTGAAAAAAAAAGTCATGTATTTAAGTGACCAAAACAAATAGAATCTAAAGTTGAAAGATTTATGTAAAATTTACCCATTTTTTAAAATAATATGGAGAATTAAAAAATTAAAGTTTAGATAATATCGTGAACACAAAACGAACTATTCTTTCACCTTTTACTAAAGAAAGTATCATACTTATTTTTTTTAAAGATTAAATAATTTATTAACAAATCTCCCCATCACCGCAAAAATAGAGAATTATACTCATTTTCCTTCTCTTTCTCTGAGAAATCCGCGCAGTGTTCCCACTCCATTTTTAAACTCCAAACCCCATTTGAGTTTTCATAAAATTTCTTTTATTTTTTCTCTTTTCCCCAAAAGAATTCAAATAAAATCAACCCCGTAAAAAGGATCTTGAAAGCGCGTGAAAATTTTTAAAATAAATTTCTGTTGGATGCATATGAGATAATTCTCATTTTATCCTTTTGAATGCCAATCCCGCTGACAGTTTTGCAGTTTCGTCACTACCATAAATTGTGATCCATTTGTCCTCTTGCTCTTCTCTTTTATTTATTTCTTCTGTTTGGAGTTTGGATGATACCCTGTTTTCTCTCATATTTTCTCTCTTTGTTTCAGAGATCAGCTCTTGGATCACTCACCCAACATATTTCTTTAAATAAAATGAGCTTAATTTGATTGATCAGAGCAATTCAGCGGAAACCTAGAAAACAGAGAGTGGATCAGATTGCTTTCAAGTTCTTGCTTTTCAGCTTTGCAGAGATCAAATGGGGAAAAGCAATAGTAGCAGAGACTGGACTCAGATCTATGCTATTTACGGCATGACCAGTGGCAAACACTCGTTTTCCTTCTATTCCACGCTCTTTTTTTCTCACTACTTTCCCTCCTCTTCCTTTTTACTTCGAATCCATATTCCACTTCTTCCAAGCTTTCATCTCCAGCCCGGGAGCAGCCCGTTTCGCTGCGGGTTCAGCGGCGGTGTCACGGCGATTTCGGCTGTGTGCTTGTTTTTCGCAGCGGCTAACTTCTTTTACTCCGCCGGGCCGTTGCATTACGACATGGCGCAGCGGATGGTGGGGTCCGTTAATGACTGGTCGACGGTGAAGCTGGCGCTTGATATCGGATGCGGTAGAGGAATCCTTCTCAATGCGGTGGCTACCCAACTGAAAAAGACCGGTAGTTCCGGTCGGGTCGTCGGGTTGGATCCTTCTAAACGAACCACTTTGTCTACTCTACGAACCGCCAACGTGGAAGGTTTGCGACTCTTCGTTTTCTTCTCATTCCTCATTAATCAATAAATTTATTATTATTTTTTGCTGAAAATGGTGATTTGAAAATTGGAACAGGTGTGGGGGAATATGTGACTTGCAGAGAAGGCGACGTGAGGAGCCTCCCGTTCGGGGACAACTACTTCGACGTGGTGGTTTCCGCCGTGTTCGTGCACACCGTGGGGAAAGAGTACGGCCACCGGACGGTGCAGGCGGCTGCGGAGAGGATGAGGGTGTTGGGGGAGATGGTGAGGGTGCTGAAGCCCGGCGGGGTGGGGGTTCTTTGGGACCTCCTCCACGTGCCGGAATACGTGCGGCGGTTGCAGGATTTAAAGATGGAAGACATTAGGGTTTCCGAACGTGTAACTGCCTTCATGGTTAGCAGCCACATGGTATCGTTTCGAAAGCCGAGTCAGCATGTCGTGGGTTCCGGTGAAGTCCGCCTGGACTGGAGATGCTGACGTGGAAAATACTGAAGTTGAAATTCAAAATATTACTACTGGTTATATATATACATATATATAACGGAATAGGAATGGAAATTTTACATAAAAATCTCGAGTTACTTTGGCAACTTAAATTCCGGGGAGGCCAAGCCAAGCCAAGCCAGATGTTTCTTTTTGTTGAAAATATACTTTGCTATGCAATATACTATGGTTATCAATTTCAGGATTGATAAATATACTAATGTAGTTTGAAGCAAATGTTGTGAATAAGTTTGTTATAAGATACTTTTTTAATAGTTTAATATAATATTTATATTATTTCTTATTTTTAAAATACAATATGAGGTGATTATTAAGTAGTATTTATTCTTAAATTAAAAGATATTGAATATTTAGTTATATTTAATTTAATATTTTTATGTGCATTAATCAATAGTAATATTAAGTATTGAAAATCTCAATGATAATATTAATGGAATTAAACTCAATCGATGTTTAATATGATTATTAGGTATTGAAAAATCTCAAATAAAAAATAAAGCATTATATGATTTTATTTGTAAAGTATGTTTAATAAAGAAGATGAAAAATAATGTTGGTGAAAATAAAAAGGTGAGAAGTGAGAGATGGAGATGCTTGTAGTAGTGTGATGGGCTTAGTGGGTGTTGTGAATTAGATGTGATAAATGGTGTAGGGTAAGGGGTTGTCATGTCTTTCTCCATCATATATGGATCAAATTCTATCTTCTTCCCAAATCTAATAGTAAGAAGATATTTTTTCATCATTATTTTATTTTAAGTTTAAAGTTAAATTAAATAGAATATTGTTTTAAAATATATATTTGTTGATTTAAATATTTAAGATCTTCTGTTAAGAATTATTTTTAATGTATTATATTATTCTTGTATTTAATTTTTGTTATACTCATTAAATTCCGATATGATACATTCTCATAAGATCATGTGATATTATTAGAAAATTTTATGTTATAAATATATAGAAAATAATATTGTTTTAAAAATGTTTATATTTTTTTAATAATTTTTGCAATGCAAATAAAGGTAATTTTTAATAATATTTAAAAATGTGAACATGTAAAATAAAATATTACCTCAAGAAAAAGAAGCTCATAAATGTGCTAAAGAATCTATGCATTCACCACTTGTTTAAAATAACAATTTTGCTGGTAATTAGATCTTACAATTCTTGAGATCGAAGCAAGAAAAAGCTGAAGAATGCTGCACGTAAATAATTAATTTATGATTGAATTACAAACAAAAAAAAAATCAGAGAACACATTAATTACAGCATGTGTTGGCCACAACATTTAAGCCTTAAGCCCATGCTTTTGTTGCCTTTGTCCTTCTTCTCTCAACATTTAATTGCTCCATGTTATGTGTATGTGTCTTCCTATAATGTCTCTCCACCAAGCATCTTGATTCAAACAATTAACTTCCACCCCCCTTCTTTATTACTGTTTCTGTCCCTGTCTTGTAAATAAAATGTTTGTTCTCTCAACAGATTTTATATTAATTTCAAATTTTAATTTTTTAACCAAATCATTAAAACATCACTATAAGATCAATCAAATCTTTCCATTTAACTTAAGAGTTGAATACTATATCGAATATGATAACAAATATATTTAAAACATAATAATCAAATTTCAAACGCATGTGTATCTATTACATGCAAAATTCAGCTATATTTGAATATGGTTTTTAACATTTCAAAGTCAACTTATCTATGCAATAGGTGTATGTTCTACCTTAGATTCGAATAAAAATTTAATGTTCAAGCTAGCAGTTCGGCTAATAAGAGAAATTTATTGTTATGCTACTGATGCATTGAGACTAAAGCTAAACATGTTTAAATTTATTAACCAATTTCGAATTTGAGTCATAATTTAAAGAGAGATAGTATAATTGATCCTAATATTTATATATTTTATAACTAAATTTAAATATATTTTTCAATGAAACCAAAGTATCCTCTATGTTTATTTCATGAAAACTAATTTTTTTGAAGTTTGTGATTATTTTTCTCAATAATATTATCTAAAAGAATCATATTTAATTTGAATTCAGACCAAATTAGACTAGCATGACTTAAATATCATCTCCTAACCGTATTATTAAAAAAAAATACATAGCAACAAAAGAAAGTCATATTTAAATAAATAAATTGGTATCATTTGATTTGTATGTGGACCTATAGCTAAAACTATAACATCACAAGAGTGAACTGCAGGTTCCCTTCACTATGAGGGAATTGTTAAGAAATGTGTACATAAAAAAACACATCTAAAATGGGCAAAAACAATAACATCTAAATATAAAAGTGAAATTTAAGGGAAAAGATTATTTAAAAAAAAAAATCTTAACAAAAACTTCTTTTCTCAACATCCTATTCAAAAATCATTTATTAAATAACAAAAAGGAGATACAATTATAAATCTGCCTCTACGATATGATCATCTGAATCATCAATTAACATCTCAGTTCTGAAAAGCAGTTTCAGGTACGGAATCACTTCAGGGAGCACATGCAAATCAGCTATGTTTATAGTCATCAAGTCAAAAGCTATGCAGGTTTTATGCATGCTCAGCTCATCCAATACAGGGATTTTTGGGTACCTTTGACTGAAGTGTGTAAGAATGATCCGATATGCATCTGCTGAGTTTCCGACATCAATGGCTTCCTTTGTTGTACTGTGATTCTTTGCTATGGCCTCCCCTGCCATGCCATCCTCAAAAGTTGCCTCGTGTATAAGAATGGCAGCTCCCTCAGATGCTTCTATCGTTTCCGAGCATGGTCGAGTGTCGCCAGAGTACACAACTTTCCAACCCGGTATTACTTTTCCAACACTATTTATTCTATCCGCCGCTTTCAGGATGACACCGAAAGCCTCGGGGCAGTGCACGACAGGAAAACTGATGATCCTTTCAAGCCCTGCTTTGTTGAGAACTTTCTTCAGACGGGTTAGTAAAGCAGAAGTTGCAACATTGTCAATCGGAATACTGAGTTTCATTCGTTTCGAACTGCCTTGCAAACAACTTTCTTCGAGACATGAAGTTGACGTAATTGTTTTGTTTGATTCGTTATCGAAGTTGAAAGTTTCCCATGAAGTTACAGTTGTGGATTTATTATCCAAGAACTGCATATCTAGATCTTCAAGTCTCTGGTATGCATCTAAAAATAGATTAAGATGTGATGGCCCTATAACAATCAATGGATCATGTGGCACTCCCTTCAACAAATCGCGTCTCAGGGTAAGAATCCGAACTAAGCCTACATGGTGATCAGCATGGATGTGAGAAATCCAAACACAAGCAAGATGTCTTACAGCATTTTCAGCACCCTCACTGCCATATCTGTTCTCAAGGTTCATAAACAGCTGTATCAATAAAAGGGAAGGAAACTGGAAATCACAAAGGTGGGATTTAAAAGATTTTTTGTAATGTTACCTTCTTTTTAGTTGTGCCAAGGTTCCTTCTCCACAATCTAGGAGCAGACTTCCATTAGAGAAAAGATTGAAATAGATAGCAGTGACATTGCGATACTTAGACGGTTGCGAGGAACCAGTCCCTAGAAATGTAATCTCAAGATCGTCTCTTCGTATATTTTCCAGACAACAAGGATGGCTATTTTCATCCAAGATTGGTTCGTCAATCAAACCTTTACTATCTTGAAAAGAGATTGCACACTTGTTTGTTGCTGTAGGTTTCTGCCACAACTGGCTTACATGTTGTGTAGCATCTATTATATCTGGAATCTCTAAAAGTAACTCATCAATGACTGCTGATGCTGCCAGTGGACTTGGAACATCGGATCTATCTAATCCAAGACGAGCGTGAGGGCGCAAAATAAACTGTTTAACACAGTCGAAATAGTTTTATTACTCAAAAGACAGCTGATAAATAGGTTAAACAACATACTATCATTGCAATTCAAAGATAATTGAACACACCTTTAGGAGATTTTCTGCAAAGACGCCATTACAAAGCTTTGAAGTCAAATCCTGCAAAGGCAAGCATAACAACGTTTACAATCTTCGTAAAATATATTTACCAACGGTCGCCAATCTAAAGAATAAACTTCATCTAGCATAAAAAAACATGCCTCTTGTGTAAAATCGTGGTCTGATGTTGAAGACATGAGTGGAAATAATTGAGGACATAAGTAACTAAGGCGCGTGGTGATTCTTGCACTTGATTTTAGGATTGGATTTTGTACTTTGTTCCTGCAAACAACATTAATCTTCCAAAGAACCAATCAAATGATTTAAGCAAAAATCATTAGTACTCACATTGCATATCCAGCCATAACATGCTGTGCTGAACTAAACTTGTTCATCCATTTCTTGTAGTGGGAACTACTGACAACAGAAGCAGGGCCTAAATGAATAACACAATTCACAATCTTGCAGCTCTGTGACTGGCAACTTGAATCTGAATAATAATCATTAAGAGATTGCGTGGAGGTAAGTTTTTGTGCATGAGAATCAGTTGGACAGTCAACTATAATCACAACGGGACCAGGGACAGGAGCACCCATTACATCACTGGGATGAACCTAAGCAACAACATAAAACGAATGTACATAGTTAAAAGCAAGAAACAAATTTCTTTCAGAGAAAAATGAAAAGAAAAAACAAGAATAATTTTCTATTTTCTTGTTAACTTTGATGAACTCACTGTGATATCTAACAAATCTGACTTGACTGATTTTCCTTCAGTCAATTCCCTAAACTTTGTCTTAACTTTTATGCCAAGAGCATCAGCTTTTTCTTTGTGGAATTTCCCCTTACTCTCATTTAATTCACACACGTATATCACTGACACATCACTTGGCTTTACATCAGAATCTTCGACCCCATTCGGCTGCAAGAGAATGGCTGATATTTTAACATCTTTAAAGTTGCTTGCTACTGACGCACAGTTGTGAAAGCTGTCCACTTGAAGAGGGCCAGTATGAGAGATGAGATTGGTGTGAACCATGGCATGATGAGGGATGAAGCACTTCATAGCATCGACCAATAAGTTGAGATTCGAAGGACCCCATATGTTAACCTTTGGTGAAAACAAGGGAACAACTAAGTTAAAATAAATTTTGGTAACATTGGCAAACTAGTTAATAAATATTAAGAATTATTCCAAATAAACTGGACATTTTAAGTCAATTGGAACTTACAGACAGTCCATCTCCCATGCCAGCCAAAGTCAAAAGCAAACCTACAAAGAAAAATAAATAACACATTTTAACCAAACATAATCACAAATTTTCTGTCCAAAGTTTGAAACACGGACCTGGAAGTCCTCCAACTGTCTCTGAGCAAACACGGGAAAGGCATATATGATCTATCTGCAAAGAATCGATAACATTGGTAGCAAATAGAGAGATGTATGCATAAACAAAGCTTTGAATTGTAACAATATGATCTGCACAATACCTTTGATAGTTTAATCTTATGTTCGGTGCAAAAACGTTGTAAGCCCTGTTATACCAACAATGTATTAAGATAAAACAGAGATTACCTAATATTCAAACAAACAAAAGTAAACGTTTTTAATGCCGTTATAATCCAAGAATTATTTACCTCTCCGGCATTAAAGATAAACCTTTGCTTGTCAAAGAAAAGTAAAACCGAAGGCATTGTATCGTGAGTATCCATTCCAATACCCAAAATCTGCAACAAAGATAAAAGCAGCCAACACAATTTATGTATGTAACAATTAGTGTCTAGAAAGCAAAATCCTAACAAGTAAAAAAGAAAACCGCTAAAAAATATTTCCAGATTCCAGAATACCTAATTTTTAAATATAATAGAGGGTTCTGAAAATTAAAAGTAATCGAAACATAAAACACGAACTTAACCAAATTCACTCATTAAAATCTATTAAAATTTCTAGAATCAAACGTGATTATCAACCTATAAACAAAAAACACATATAATATTATACAAAAATAGAGATTTGTGAGGAAGATAAAAAGATCAAAAATATGAAGAAATACCTGAATATAGGCAGTAGTACTGCTGTTAGAATTAGCAGTATGATGTTTGACTCGAACATTTTTTATGAGAGTAGGCTTACTACTTCTATCTGTCCCATTTGCCCTACCTTCGTTAAACTGACTTCTTTAGTTTTCTCCATTTTGACTAAAAAAAAGGGATTACTAACAGGGCAAGGAGTATGAGAAAACCGCGCAATAACTTCCTTGGTAGCGACGGCGCCTTTGCTGATGAGAGAAAAACCAAAATTAAATCAGGCGGGTTAATCACTGGTGGTACTCTTGGGTCGATATATCATCAAAATTCAAAAATAAATTATTAGCCTACAATATTAAATAATCGATTTTTATCTATAAACCATATAAATATTTTAATTGTCTTATAGTGATTTATTACTTATAGTCATTAATATTTTAATTTAAAGATTATATATAAAAGAATAAAAAATAAAAATACCCCCACAATATTATTAATAATAACTGATAAAAAATATTTTTATCTCAATTAATTTTATATTAATAAAAATTAATTACTTCAATTAAATTGATGTATAAATAATACATGATATTAACTCCGTTAAAGTTTTTTTTTTTTTTTTTTTACAATTTCTACTTGGAGAAGGAGAAAGAGAATTTTATACTTACATGATAAGGGAATGATTAACTAAGAACTTTTAGCTGCTTGCTTGACAACTTCATCAAAGACTTTATATTAATATAAATCCGTATGTAACTAAATCGCATTGGTCTGCACATTACAATGACACACCATTCTTCTGTACATGAATCACAACACATTACAGTATTGTAAGAAAAAACAATGAACGAACAAAACTTGGTCTAAATCTAAATCTGACAGTTTTTCATTGAACATAGTGAAATTTTAGGACCAGAGATTGACTTGTCAGATGAAAATCCATGACAATCATGCCGGTACGCAGAAAGATGAACTAAGATCAGGAGGCAAGATGCAAACAAGGTGAGGTCCGGCAGGACTGCAGCTTATATTTGCCTCGTCAATATCCGGTAGCCCGAGGTGAGGGGGGTGGACATAGCCGGCATTCAGCGGCATGCATAGAACGGAAATAAATATCCTTGAACCTGAAATTGGAAGTAGAATGGCGATTACAAATATGATAATACAAGTGCTTTCTTGACTCAGCGATGAAGCCATCACGACTTATCATTAAGAAGTGAAAATGGAAGCAGTTTGAAAACCTTGCTTTGTGGAGAGAGAAACATGCCCTCTTTTCCTTCCGGCTATCATCCAATTATCGTGATTTGCGCTCACTTCATACAGCACCTCATCCTGTCAAAAAGTACAACGTAAACTTGAGTTCAGCAAGTCAATGGTTTGGCCAATAATAGGATTATTTCGACTTACATTGTTTTGTGGAGCTTTGCTCTCCTCGATGTCTTTCAACCTCTCAACTCTCCATTTCAAGGTAACAAGTTTCCCGACTCGAAGACCATCAGAAGGAAGAGGGAGAAAACCAACAGCCAGGCATGGGTCAAGGACAGGTCGCTGCAAGATTATAGCACTCCGGAAGATTAATTCGTGACTAGCACCCTCAGTTTCATTTGATTTTGCAGCCGCTGGTGGGTGTGCCCCAATGATCCTATCACCAGCAATCCCGTAGCTGATGTTTAATATGCTTTCTGGTTGCAACTTATTCTCATCTGTAAAAGCAAGAGTTGATTACTTTACATAAGGTAATATGGTTGGGTGTAGAACGAGCTCGACGATGATACTATTATAAGAATAATGCACAACCTCTGTTTGAAATTTTAATGCGAAAAAAGAAGTTGAGAATCGGAGATGTGGAAGGTTACAGCCCTATACCCTTGATACTATCCTAAAAAAACAAGATGTATGTACCTTCAGCAATCCCCTCCCCAAGCAAACTCGGAATAGGAGTCCCGATCTTGAATTTGGAGATATTACAAGTGGAAAAAAGGCAGAAACTGGTCTTCCATCACTTTGTCCAGCATGAATAAATCCATCTTGAAAATCAAGCCAAACATCTTTAACAGTTAATGTGGCCTTCACTTGGGAGTGCAGTGTTACCTGCAAGTAACATGAACCAAAACGAGCTTCATAAAAAGTACGAAGAGTAATGTCAAATTTGTAACATGCAAAATGCTATTTTCAGATGCTATACAACAAGACCTGCAAAAGCATAAAAACATGAATGTGGTTGAAAACCAAGGACATAATACCTGCAAAAGCAAAGTACCATCATTGCATTGATAGGCAACACGTGTGCTCACATGGAAAGGATCAGTGAAATGCAAAGCTATGGTTCTGCATATCACTATAAACCATTTAATAAAATTCAGCTAGAGAGAATTCAAATTCAAAATCAGAAGAGAAATAATACTTGTCATAGATCTGGTTGTTTGATATTCCAAACTCAAGTTTCAGAGCTATTTCCGCATTCCATCCACAATACTTTGTTTCTGCGGGGGCCCTGCCACAGCACGCAACATCAAATAAACGATCAAGCCAACAGATGTAGCAAACACATGGAGAAACATATATTTTTGCATACTAACAAACATGTAATCAAAATTAAAACCATCAGAAATTTTCTAGTCTATTTTCTGGACCTGAAGATGACCCCCTTGCAAGCTTATCATCAATAGCACAAATAGGAATCCAAAGAATTGAGGTCACATCACTGGCCCAATCTGGAAACTCTATTTTACCATCAAGGAGACTTAGTTGCTCAAAATCTTTATTACCATCTTTCCCAGCATCACCAGAATTTGACGTATCAGCCGAATTCTGGGCAGCACTTCTGTAGGTTTCCATCTCAATGGAATGCGACTCTTCAATCTTCAGACCCGGACCAGTATCAATATGCATGACAGCACCTTTCAAGGAGTAGTCTATCGGTTGCGATATAATTCCAATCCACTGAGCTTCATTAATCAGCAAGGCAGACGATATAGCTGCAGATAGATCAACTAGAGGTCTTGGATTGGAAACCTAAGTAAAGAGAATGTTCAATTAGAAGACTGAAGAAAAAGAACAAAAGAACAAATTGCTTTGTGATATTACAGTTGTGAATTTCACCAACCTGTACTTTTTGACATTTAGAAACAGTTACCTTTATCAAAATGATTATGAAGATTATTATCCTCAACTTTTGTTAATCCATATTAACACAAAAGACGGTAATTAAATCTGAGAGAGAGTACCTTCAAGATGGGCTGGGTCGTTTTCTCATAGCTCATGAAATCACCACTATCTGCTGGACCTGTCTTGGAGAAACTATGAGATCTAAAAGTCAAGTGTCCAATGTGTCCGGCAAGAACTCCCAAGACATAAGAACCAGGTTTCTGTGGAGGTAAAGGAAAGGTGATTGTATTCCTACCAGGCTTTAGTATAGTGGCAGTAGAGCTTCTTAACTGAAATATGCCTCAAACAACCAAGTCAATATCATGCTATGACAGCTTAAAACATACAAGCATCATCTTCTCTTAGAAACCATACCTTACCACCTTCATCAGCATTAAATGTAGCCATCAAAGTGAGACTAAGAGAATCAAGAGTTATATCGTCAGGAAAGCCACTCCAAACAGTTACAGATATGGTACCAGGATCCCCATCACATAACTCCAAAGGAGGCCCAGGATTTCCGGAAAATGTAATTAAAGATGATACATCAAGAGGGACAGGGTGCTTTATTTCACTATGTGCAAGACTAACAACTTCCGACTGAAAAGCTTGGCGTTCCTTCGTTGAGAATAATCCCTTATCAAGTGAAAGCAACCGCACACAAGATGACAGGTAGCCAGCTTGGTCATTGAGTATTCTTTGACATTCAGCTAAGTAGGGCAGGACTTCAGCCAATAAATCTTGCCATCCTTCACCCGCATAAAGAGCGCAAACCTTCTCATATGACTTTGCAGCTAGGTCAAAGTTCCCATGCTTAAAGCAGACGGCTGCAATTTCACCATCAAGGACAACTCCATGTCTTTTCCACCAAGAACGATGGTAATTGTCAGCAGCACCTTTAGTGAGATCCATATATTTTTGCTACCATAACCCGCCATAACCCAAATAGGGATTAATTAGACAAAAGGTGTAGATTAAATATTGAATATAAGTACCCCGCCACATAAGTCAACTAAATCCTGGAATATATAATGAACAAAGATCTAATGTCTAAACTAGGTACCTCCAACTGATAACCAAAGGAGAATGTGTTTTAGGTGTAATATTTTGTTACTTGGATTAAAAATCTTCCTCCAAACCAACCCCCATCCCCAAAAAAAACAAACAAAACAAAAACAAAAACAAAAGGTGGAAACATGAACAGTTCACATGCATCTAGCCTCAATTTGATACCTCAATCTCCTGTATAGATGACAAAGTTTTCTGCAGATCAGGATTTGAAATTGTTTGCATCAAAGCACGTTCAGCAGCAACAAAAATTTCAGCAAGCTTCATGGGTCTATCGACCGAGCCCTCAAAACTTCCAGCAGATGAGTAAGTACGAGACATCGAAATTGCTAGTGCTTTTCTTGATGGGGATGTCCTTGATGATACATCCGTCGCTGATCTGTCAGCATACATACATTAACATGACATAAAAACCATTAATTAAAAACAAAAGGTAAAAAATTTCTTCACATGAAAACTTCCAATCTAATAGTAACTCATTCTCAAAAAATTGCTAAAGCAACATTGCATTGTTTCTTGAGCTTTACTTACCCATCAGCAAAGCCTTGTTTGCCGTCAAACATCTCTGATGGGCTTCCAGCAGAAAGGGAAGCCCTTCGTCGATTTGCCTCGCGTATAAGGGCAGTAGGCTCAAGTGGCAAGGGTTTTCTCTCAATGCCAAAGGGCTTGACTCTAGGATTTTCTTGCATAATCATCTGAACCAATTAAGTATAGCTGATTAAAAGCAAAATAGACATTAATGAACAATATAGTTGTGTAACGCATAGAACCTAAACCTACAGCCATGAGAACATTCATTTGCTGCTTTAAAAATCTAGAAAAATATTACTATTCCGATGGTAGGACCATAAAGTACCTTCACAAGTTTTAGCAAGAAAAAGTAAGAACACAAAGAAACAACCTTTTTATGCGGATTTGAAGCATGAAGACATCAAAATACATGGATGCTTCTAAGTTGATCTATTAAAAGCTTCTACCTTGAAAAAGGTTAACTGTTATTCTAGCCACTATTTATTTCATTTTCAAATCTCTATGCTGTTATAATGTT